GGTAAACTTTTCCTCTAAACATAAAAAAGGTCTTAAACCTTGTCAGTTCAACACCATACCTTAGTCACCTATCATCTCTCCCAGGTTGAATTGCGAACGTCATCTTGAAATGTTAAAACAAAAGGATGCGGGCTATTATTGTACAACTGAAGAGGCAGCCAATAAACCAGTCGAACGCCTTGGTATTCTATGAGGAATATTAGGAAACCTTAACCCGTCTACCTACATAACTCTTTTGAAAGCAAGTGTGGGGCCCGCGGACTAAACGAGATCAAAGGAGCTTAGAGCACCGTCAAGACACAAAATTTGCACTCGAATTATCAAGTAAACTGCTAACACCAACTCATATCTGTCCATCTACCCTCCGCGGTCCATAGGAGATTTCGAATTTGCCTAGTAACTTATCTGTTCTTTGACTATTTACGACACTCATTTCGTGACATGCTCTTGCCTTCCTCTACAACCTGCTTAAATGTCGTTCGCTGACACTATCCTACCAAACATCCAGGTTGAATCGCTACAAATACCGTCTTACATTCGAGTAAGCCGCTAGTGGAGCTAACTGCCTGCTGATATGGACGGAGCATCTTCGATGGAATCTTTTATACATCACTTAGACAAACACCATACACTATCATTAGTGCAGCTCCGCTTTTCCAACTTAATTGACCGCTCTGTACCCTCTCGAACTCCCTATTTTCTCTCAAACTACATAAGTGAGCTTGGTTGAGTGTTCTACTTATGGCTGATACGCCTTCTGTGCATATGCTACTGCAACTGCATGATAATATAATATAATGTACGCATGTTATATAATATATAATATATAATAGTGTAATAATATACTTTACACTCTTGTCCGACCCGTTATAAAAGCAATCTGGAGAACCGAGTAATATTCTCTTCTCCTGTTGGCCAAGTAAAGCGTCTACTGCTTTTTTTACAATAAATAATGCTCATAATCATCGTTTGCTTTGACCGGCTCAGATTCTGTAGTGACATGAGGGTTGTAACAAAGTGGAAAATGCGGTACCTCACGGCCCAGACCGCTCGCATTTCTTTCGTCCAACCGTTTTGCAACGATAGCAGCCACCAGTGCCTACTCGGGAATTTATTGCTGTGATCCTCCCACAGCTACTATCTAATGTGAAGTGGGATAGCTGGCCTGAGAACAGGTCACAAATAAGACGGCCTATCGGTGTTACGGCAGCACCCCGAATACAATAGATGTTTAAAACCTCAGGTTCTCGCCGCTGGCTTACATAAGAATGACTATATCTGACCGATCAAAAATTCATCTACTGCATCCGGCCGATATTTCAAAACTGACGGTGGAAAAATCCGCACTACCGTCAGATGCAGCAATAAGCCTGCTAGCGCCGAATTTCTTCCACGGACGTCTGTGCGTTAACTGTCAATACGAATGCAGCATCATAAATCGGTGAAAATAACAACCAACTCGCCGCTTCGAGTGCTGACTTATTTGAACCAACATTATTAGATAACCTTCATTGGTTGACAACTGTAGTTACAAAAATTTCCAAAGAGTCTACTGACACATAAATCTGATACAGTTTAAATAACAGGTTTCTCAGAATGAAGAGAGAGTATTTCTGGCCCCAGGTGTGTTGGTAAATACTGAATCACGGGAAGCGACCTAAAATAGCCAAACAAACGACCTAGTGATAAATTCGCGGAAAGCTGGGTGGATTTTTGCACTGAATAGAATGGAAGAATTTTAAGAAAGGATCCTAGATCTTTTTCAAATTGCGTGGTAACTTGGGCAAAATTGACCGAGCTGTGGCAATTTGGAATGGAGGTGTAAATGCGGTGCATTTTTATACACTGACTTATGAAAGTGGAAGGTCGGTCATAGTTTCCGAGAGGCTTATTACGACATTTCGACCGACTATTCCCAAACTTTTCCGGAAAGAAGACTTTTTGATGGGCTGGATAGTTTTATAAAAGGCCAGCTGCAACGTCAGTCATACATCAAAACGGTCATGGACGTACTAGGAAACGCACTTTCTCAAGACCCACAAGTCGTAGGAAGGTCAGTGCATTACTATCGGTCAAAGTACAACTTGCTGTGGCTGTTTAGTCTCCGTTCGGAATGATTAACAGTGGGTATCTCATAGACCTGTGGAGAGATTTGCACCTCCCAGTTCCGGGCTACTACCTGAGCATTTGGCCACGAGAGACTGATCAACCAACTTCCGATACTACAGCTCACCTTACATGGTATGGTATTCGTTGGCTCGAAAGTTCCATGTCTAAATGGAAAAAAAGCTGGTAGTGTATTCAGTGTGATTCATTTCCTAGCTTTTTATTCATTCAGGTGGCCTTCCAGAAAGTTGTCCATCATCATGAATTGGCCGATAATTGCCAAACCAAGGACTCAGAGCAACTTAGAATGAAACTCAATAACTTCAAATATTAGTCGGCGGATGCATGGGGTTGCAGCCTGATGTTTTCAACCAAAGTTTCACGCGTCCAGTCCATCTAAGCAGCTTGAATTGTTTCTGTAAAAAGCGCTAAACTAAATGATACGTTATTGGTAGTGCCAAAAGTTTTGGGGATTTTCAATACAGATTTCGTCCTGTAACTGAAGCCTGTCTACGCTGAAAAGCACAGTAGCACTGTGCAGTTGTTTTGTCCTTATTGGGATCAGCGGTAGTGTGCACCTCAGGAAATTCCCTAACCCGCGACCTCCCAGGTAGTATTTTGAACACTTAAGTGTTAAGCCATGGAGCGGCTGATCACTGGTGTAATTTACTGGCACTTAGGATATAGCGCCACTCATCCTTCAGTTATGAGATCCACATCACGAAGTTGTGCCTGTTGACTAGCTCCTCGTGAGACAGCTTCTCAGACGGAAGCTTCACTCATCGAGTGAATTTTATTCCTCCTCTGGGCTACTTAAAACTTGCTGGTATTGTGGGAAGACTTAGGAATTTTTAATGGAGACTTCTGTAGCTCGTACGAGTAGAGCCAATCTATGCCGAAGAGCCTAGCACTGTACAGTTGTTTCATCCTCATTGGGAGTCGTCAGTAGTTCGATTCCCAAGAACGTATTATTACTGGCACTGTGTCTCTACTAAGCACGGTCAGCCACTCGCGACTAAACGGTTAATTGTTCGGAATGATAACTGAGATGTCACAGGCCCGAGACTCCCTAGAGTTTCTTGAGATTCGCAGTTCTGACGATTGCCGATAATGATGAAACAGTTGTACAGTATCTCTGGACTTTTCAACATTAACTGGCTTCACTTACAGGAAGAAATCTCCATAAAAACACCTACTATTCAACGGCCACATTAGCCAATAAACTTGGCTCCTTCTCGCTTGTAACTGAGTACTGTACCGGCACATTTCCGAGAAATCTGGCTTTTCTTTAGGGAAAGGAGGCTATTGGTAAGACGACGCATCTCACTGAATGATATGGACATTTGTGAATATAGGGTCTACTTGAGTTTTCGCGTCCAGGTTACGCAACTTTGGGACAAACCTAAGTAACATAATTCGTTAACATGGACTTAATATAATCTACCAACCGAACCAAACAAAGTCAACATAAATGCTTATTTCTCTCGAGATTAACCATGTTAACAATTTATTGATTGGCAATTCTTGGTTATGACGAAGTGCACTGTCATGGTAACTTGCCTTCCTTGGGATGACTCATTTATGCTTGAGGGGTGTCTTTCCCCTCTGAAGTAAAACAAAATGGGAAGATTTCCTCTGCAAAAATAAATATCTGACAATAGGGCTTTAGTATTGAATTCTTCTGGTGGATGAACTGATATCACATTAGATATCAAGAAAGATCGATTTTGGACAGCATATTCCCTTTCGTTTTAACTCATTATCAAAAATACCTGTGCGATTCAACTTTGCAACTTTTGCTTCCCTATGGCGGACTATTTGATCATTTACTTCGAAGATCAGCACATCAAGTAGTCGCTGTTTCCGTCACCTCTCTATGACGTAGTTCGTCTTTCTTTCGTGATGCTTGCTTTCCATCTTATTTATTAATCCAGAAACCAATCGCTAAGCAGAAACATAAGCTTTCGCTTCTATTTTGTGCTTATTTAGTTTAAAACGAGTAGAACCATTATGAATCTGTCACTGTAGTATCTGGCCACCAAGGGAGTAAAAAGCCAAGTAAATATGGCTCGAGTAAAGAGATTGCTTCATTCTAGATGGATTAGCAGTGTACTTAATTGAACTACAACCTATCGGCGATGTATACACAAGGAGCAACTACCCACCCAATCGCGCGATGATGATTACTCGAAGGTTTACGAAGCGTTTGCAAGTCTGTTGCCAAAGTCGGGAAACAGCTCAACAGCCACCTGATCACTTACCAAAAGGCCTGATGAGATGCGGATTACTTGAGCCAGACCTGTGCTTTAACTTCCTTTAACTAATATTATATCGGCTGTTTTATTTTTACATCAGATCAAGACTGAAAAATAATATTCCAACACACAGGACGAGTAAATCGGATTATCCAAAACAGCTTTAGTAAATGGAGACGACAGTTCAAAAATTGTGGAAAGACGTTTGGGAGTGGACAGCTTTAACTCAGTCGCCTCGAACACGACCGGAGAGAGGCAAGTTGTTGTCCATCCTACCAACAATGAATAGCTAACGTGTCCCTCTGGAACATTGTTGGTTCGGCTTGTGTGATGTCTTATAAGGTGTTTTGCCGTAATCGTCAGTTTATAGTAAGTTAATATACCTTCAAAGGGTTTAAGTGAATCACCGGTTTATTCACGACGAAAACTCAGTTGACAAACAACACTTTTTGTGAAACTTTAGTTTTCCCGACCATCCTGGGAACCCGATTGTCTTCTGACGTTTCCTACTTACTTTATATTGAATGTCATTCATAGGCAGTAATTGATCAGAACCAAGCTTCACTTCTACGTTCGTCAGCCTTCAATGGATCGAGGAATCATTTGACAAAAAAGGCAGAAAGTTTCATTTTGAAAGCACTTTTTTGACCATCTAAATCACAGCCAATATAAGGGAACAATAGCAATGAAAATGATTCCAAATGAATCCACTGCGGTAAAGTGAGTATGCTTCAAGGACTACTCAATAGCTTCTTGACGGTCAGGTAAAGCACCACTGTCATTTCCAATATGCTTGACACAACAAAGCTGTTCAGTATTTACCATATGTTACCTCCGGGTTTAAAGTATGGATAGGGTAAACCTGGCTTTTGCTTTGTAGGGTGGAGGGTCGAAATTTCAGTGGCTTTTAGTCTGTCGGCCTCCTTTTGCAATATTTCCTCATAAGCTCTCTCCGCCTTGTATATTGAATCCTGGTTGTGTGGGAACTGATAACCGTCTACTATCCTTTCTGGTGGGTTACAACAATTTTGGGACGATTGATGCTGTTGTAAATTGGCTTTTGGGAACTGCTCATCTCTGATCTTTTCGACCTTTTCCAAAAGGGCTTCCCTCGACCTTAGTTCTTCTCGCTGTCTACGATGAACTTCTTCTAACCGAGCCATGGTGTTGTGTCGACAATTCTCCAAAAGCTGTGATTAAATAACAGATGAACGGCAGAAGATAGAAAAGCATCAGTGATCACCGGTGCATTCAAAAATTTCATTTGAAAAAAAAAACGATTAGATGTGTTAATGGAACACAAACGGTCATATGGTACACAACACTTGATGACTTCATTACTTACGCTGGGATGACAGAATGCATCAGCGCAAAATCATCGTGCGCTATCTATAGAGGAAAGTGTTCCTAGCTCGGGTAGCGTGGATGGTCGTTGGCTTGTTCGCTGGGCTGGGCAATTGGATTGCAAACGTTTCACCACCAATCGAGGTGATATCATCAGTGCGTTACTGGGAAGCGTAGTGCTGCGTAGCGCTCTCCAATAACGCACTGATGATGTCACCTCGATCGCTGATGAAACGTTTGCAATCCAATGGTCCAGCTCAGCGAACAAGCCAACGACCATAGTGGGCTATTTCAGACCGAAGCAAGTTGTGGAAGTTAAAATGTCGAAAGACGTTTGCTCATACTTCTCACAAGATACTTCCGTACCTGCCACCTACTCGAAAGAAGTGAGACTCCCACCTACGAGCATCTCTTACAAGCATTTCCAGGTCGCTGAGAATGAGTTCAAAAGAAACGTTCGTCGGAGTGAGAATGCAAGGCCTAACAAGCATACCATCAAGTTTTGAATGATGACATCAATCACGTTATGTGCGACTCAGCAAAAAAGTTTTATTCTGCCCTCATTTCATCCGTGCCCTTTATAGTATTGTTAATTACGCCTTCCTATAAGCCGCGAAGGAAGCATGTTCGGGCTTAAAAAACAAACATGTGTTAGCTTTTTCTAAGCATATTGATTGAAAGCATACCAATTTGGAATCCCTTTGTTCACTGAACCAACATGCAATGTTAGAGCACATTGTTTGTGTCGAAACAAAGTATATTACCTAACATTTGATCACACAATAACTTCAGCATTCGGTCAACCAGGCATCGTTTCGTTTTACTTTGTGAATACACAGAAATACCCAGGAAAGCCTTTCACCATCTTATGGTCCCGAGGGGAACGATTGTAAGACCAAATGAATTGCCAAATTTTGTCATTTTTATGGACACTTTTTGCCATCGGTGAACAATGCTTCCTGTACATCAAAGAAGCGTTTTACATGCCTTAACAGCAAGTTGTTACATAAAATTCAAGATGGGTCTAAAGCTTTTGCCTACATTTCCTGCTATGCTATTTGTATTTACGCAGTGTTTGCATTCTATGGTGTTCTGTTGTTAAACCGAGCCACGAGCAAATTTGAAACCGATTTTCCCTACAGGAATATTCAGTGTACACCCACTTCGCTTAAACCACACAAAATCAGTTCACCAGGTGACGGGTTTTCTGATGAAAATCTAGCATTTGTCTGAAAATGAACATGGTATACACTAAAATTCCTCCTTTTGGATCACGGAATTCTACAACGTATGTACAACGATATTCGTAATGTCCTTGTGGATGAGGAAATTGATAAAATACCCGGATGAATAACGTTCACTATGGGCGCTCGTGAAGCGGACAAATATGGAGAGTTCAGGCTGTCAACATTCAGTATGTGGGCACATACTGAGCATATTTTTCACTGAAATTCCGAACCCCCTCCTCAGTACTGTATTACTTTTCTCTAGGCTTAGGTAACCTGGAAGTATCTGGTTCCTCATGCTTCTTTTCGGAAGAAAGGGAGCTATGCTCCAAGGGGGGGGGCTACAACTGAACGTTTTTTCAGTTTTGTATTTCACTGAGGACTTGCGTCAAAGTACATTAGAGGTGATGGTTGTGTCGACTGACTTAGCCGTTAGTCTCGTAAGATTTACTTGGCTCTAATAACTTGCTTAGGTGATTTTCCTGAGACCTTCAGTTTTGAAAGCCCTCATGAAAAAATGAAGTCCGCGAAATTTTTCTCGAATCTGACCTTTCTATGCAGAGCGAGAAGGGCTTGAACGTAATGAAAGTTCTCTCCCATTGTTAGCGGACAAAATAAGGATCATATACATATCATATATACATAAAAGAATCAAAGAAACACGTAAACTTCACAGGATTTTAAAATTTATCTCTTTCCAAACGAGAAGTGAAAGTAAGAAAAAAGAAGTGACCAAAAAACTGTACCCAGAACACTGTTCGTTTAATTATGTCAACTGAACCTCATGATAGATTGCTGTAACGTTTGATGAACACTCAGTCAGTTGGAAAGCGTTTGAAAGCGACTGTGAATATATTGTCTGAAAAATTTTGGTGACCATCGTTATCATCACCCTCGTCAAAACCGTCACCTTTCAAAATCCCGTGTGACAGCAGTATAAGGTGCAGAAAATCTGATTTTAGGCAACAAGAAGCCGAAACACTGTTGGTTGGAACATCTCTATTGAGTCCCATGACTCAGTTAAAAAGAGACGGTTGTACGAGGGTTTAGATGCCTTTACAATCGGATGAGCTATCATAGAGATGCCTGAATAACAGGGAAACCCATCTCACCGGGGGGAATTTGGTTGGTGGTTGACAGCCTCCTGACTATAAATTGACAACAACTGAAAGACTTGCCCTTATTAGGTCATTGTTGACAGCTACCTAGTTAAGTGCTGCTTGAAACAAACCTCATTCCTGGGACATCAACCTTGTCAGACATTGGATTTTGTTCAGCCAAATGGCAATTGCAATAAACGTGAATGCATAATGGTCGCATTTTCTGAAATGTACCAACAGTAGTCGGGTTCACTTGAATTCTTTCAGTGCTGCGGCTCAAAGGCTATGAATGTAACAGTTAGTGGTGGAATAGTAAACCGTATGAACTTTTCAAGCAATTTGAAAAGGTTTGAAACCGATTGACAATTCATCGTTCCAGAAGAGTTTGGTAAACAATCGGTAGTTTTTAATTGGGCAACGTTTCGCTTCTGACACTACAGATTGTTTACCAAGTCCTTTTTAAACGTATGAATTTATCTACTAAGCAAATGGTGGGATGGTTGTTCGCCTCTGTATTTACATCTTTGTAGCAGACTGCCGAGCTGAGCTCTGGAAGGAACGGGGGTCTTTTGACTTTCTAATTTTAACTACACACAACTGAGACGTGTTTAGTAATTTTAACAATTTTTTTCCTCGAGAAAAACTATTCGTAAGTTTGCTGAAAACTCTTCGTCAACCCATGACCAGTTTTTCCCAGACAAGACTAATCAAGTAAGTAAAGTTCCCAAGTTTCCTTTAACCATACGTTCTACTTGAGACCAAATTGTACGAAATTAGCGTCATACATTTACTTGCACACCGATTCGATTTTAACGGGAGATATGACTGAATTCCAGCAGAATCTCTCGTTCGTAGCATTCTTAAGCTAGGATCCAGTTGTGTTATCCGGTGAAACTAAAATGGCGTGCAGATGAGTGCATTCCGCGTACGTCCACTGTTGTTTCCAGTTTGGGCTCAGGCAAGTCAAATATTTTGTTCGCTACATTACACTGAACTCTTTTTTACCCCAACAGTGATCAGACAGCCAATATGACCTTTTATTGGCCTGTCGCAAAAATACAATGATAAGTGGCTGAAGTTACATGGTGGCAGTGAAAATAGTCTGGAATCATGACGCCGAAGGACGAAGACACAAAATCGCTTACGCCATGTCAGGCGGCACTTCCGTTTTAATGTAGACAGGAAGTAGGAACAATGCGGAACGCAGATGTCACTTTACGTTCAGTGTCTTATGGGAGTATTCTGTGGCTTATGCTGTCTACGTAGTGCTACTCGCAGTCAGGACATATTCATCATAGTGAGAACAACTGCAGTGACATTAAAAAACCGCTTGAAATGAAAAGTCCAAGTACGCATAGAATGAAATAAAAAGCCGATTAGTGTACGGGCTATTATCGTTCCGTATTTTATTCTTCTCAGTGGTCTTTGATGTGGATCATACATACTGTGTTGTGATAAAATTATGTGATATTATGTCCAAATGTCCATTTTTATTCACAAGATCATAAGCAGCTTTCCTCTCATGTGTGTTTTTCAGGTTATTCTGCTTTGTGAACCTTAGGTTTTGCAACATGGCTAGCTCCCCACGATAGACAGATAGATGGAGAATGGAGAATGTCAACAATCGGAATATCACGTCCGAAATAATGCTTGATAAATGCAGTTTGAGGGCATAATTTTTTGAATGGATACCATCGAGTGAAAACACAATAAAGACTCCAGTACAACGATAAAAGTTTCCATCCTTACATGACCGATTGTGGCCACTTCCTACCGCTCAATTAGCCGAAAGCAGCACACGAACTGTCAGGCGTCATACACCTTTTGATTAGAAACTTTGAAAACTTGCCAAGAATGACCCTCTAATAGGTCACGCAAAATTCTGAGTCTGAGCAATGGTGGAAACTCGTTCTAAAAACACTGGATCTGTACGTTAGTGATGGAGGAAAATATGAGAAGTCAAACAATACTAACGTTGTCATACGTACCTGGATCCAGCTGATAGGTGCTTTTCTACACAATCACTACGTACTAAATATGGACAAATCCACGCCATTGTACACGCTCCAGGCTATATTCAAGTATGAGCTAGGTGCAGTCACCTCAGCCTCCGTGGATTTTGCACACCTTCCACCACTACCATTATGCTAGAAAGAAACCTCTTCCACATACTGATGGTAGGGTATTCGTAACTATCTAAAGCTTCCACGTCTACAAGTATAAAGATTCTCATATACGTACTCTTGTGTCTCTGATATGAAGAACCATTTCGGTCTTACCAACTGTTTGCGAAGTTCAAAGTAAACCACACTGAAATTGTTTTCGAGACAGTTTATTTGGTCTGGTGAGCATGGCAACAGTTGTTACAGTAAATCCATAGCCCTGGTGCTTTGTGCCGCTGTTTGGACAGAATGAGTATATTTCATTGCAGCTTGTAAAATGAACTGGAATAGAATGGTATCTGCACGACCTCACACTAAATACCGTGGGCAGCATAGTGCGGCGATGTCAACCATAACGGTGCGACGGTACTTTCCCCGTTGCTTCTGACTGAATGTGCGTTCTGCGACATCTAGCCCGACAACAAGCATGGTCACCAGAAACCGCTTACGCCACAGCAGTCAGGCCTCGAATGAGCAAGCTGTCGACACTGCATTGAACAACAGTGACTGCAACTAATCAGTGTTCTTTCATCTACAACAACTGGCGATGATTTTGGCCTGCTCGGGATACAGAAATTGAGTCATTTGGTGATCGCACACATGCAAGGCGAAAACCTAAGTACTTTTGAATTTCTCTCATTTTCCTTCTCTCATAAATCAGTGAAAAATTATTCATATTTAGACAAATTTTGGTCGACAAATTTGAATCTTGACGAATCTCAACCAACAATATCAAAATTAACCAAATATTTTGGAAGATCATGAGGTTTTCATAAAGGAAACTACTCACAGTTTGCTGAAAACTCTTCAACAGCTCACGACCGGTTTCGCCCTCCTTGGGGCTCATCAGGTAGTCGCAGTCCCCGAGTTTCCGTCAACCTTATGTTCTACCTGATGAGCTCCAAAAAGGGCGAAACAAGTCGTGGGCTGTCGAAGAATTTTCAGCAACCTTGTGAGTAGTTTCCTTCATGAAAATATACTGCAATTTCGCGAATATCGTGCCAACTGAAACATGAGGCGCCCTATGTGCAGCACATTCAGTTGTAGAATATCATAAACGAGAGATTCAGTTGGGTCTCTCGTGAAAACCAAATTGATTTGCAAATGAGTGTATTTCTCAAGATCATGAGAGTACGTAAAGTTGATAGTTTTATATATGAAGCATAGACATGAGGTGCTTTATAGTCAAAACTAACCGGTAGAAGACAGATAGCCAGAAGTCTCTAAAGCCCAGATAACTTTCGCATTCCGCAAGTAAAGTTAGCTCTCTGCACACCTCACAGCTCTCCGGAATGACTCCAACTATAGGAGCCAGTGAGCGCTGGATTAAGTATCGTGCACTGTGGGACTGAAGGACAGCGGCGTTGTATCCCAAGTGATATTTAGTTGCACTGCTGATATATGGTGCTCAGGTACTAAACTTGAGGTTATAGGTTTGAATAAACGTACGCTGCACAGGGATGATACGCAACCTAGTTACACAGTACCTTGTGGCTATTCAGCATAAATTAACTCATTTTCAAAATTGGATTTCAAGCTTCATGTACCATATTTTTTGGCGCGACCTCATGGTTGTAACGGATATAGACGCAACTTTGAATGCAGTTTGGAACACGTTAGAATCGGGAATTGGAGAGTATGATTAACCTCAGCTATCGGGTCCCAGATTTCCCAGTATTGAAATATGGTCCACGGTCAAATTCGCCCTCGGTGTCGTGTGGATCATGACCTTTCAGGTAATGACGTAGTACCTCAGCTCCACTGATAAAGTGGAGCAAAAACTCTTTTGTGTAGGCCGATGAACAAAAGTCTCTAGCACATGAAATAACCTAACCTGTTCATTATTTTGTGGGGCATGGATATTTGGTGCTGTTATGTTGTTTTTTTTACACTCGGATGTCAGTTTCCATCCGAAATGAGCCGTTTGGGCTGTGGTCATGTGCTGCGCATGTCAATCGACTGACTTCCTCAAAAGGCTCTTTTCGCACAACCACGTGAAGGGCGGAAGAGAGCCAGAGGAGGTCAAACAATGACTTGGCAGCGAAGCACAAAAGCCAGTACCAGCAAACTCAGCTGCGCTCGTCACTGCCGTCTTCCTGGATGGGGACCCCAAGACGGGCCATATCAATGGTTAGAGACACTGTCAGACATGGCCCAGTCGCGCCCTCAATGACGCACATGCATCCAAGCTATTTCCTTCAATGCATAGCTCCCTTCCCAATCCCCCAATTAACAGTCCACCTACAGTGCTGTATTTACGCACTAATCTATCAGCTCCCGCCTCCGATGCGCAGCTATCTACCCCACCTCCCCAAATCATCGGTGAACGAAACTGTGGCAGCTACAACCACTGTACGACAAGTACATGTTTCTTACAGCAGACAATCATGATGAATGATGTTTGAGCGCAAACTTCGCTAAAATATGTCACAAATCATGGTTTCATCGTTCACTTGAGAGCCTTACTATGGAGTCGATCAGGATGAGGCACATGGGTCGCACGCTTCCGCACAAACTTCGTTACCTTAACCTAAAGCATTTCTTTGTCCTGATCGTCCGTAAACAAACAAAAATCTGTGTCATAAACGCCATATTTTATGTGCTTCCACTTAATCTGGGTGCTCAGACCAGTTTTTCGGTCATTCGGTCCACGCATTGCACTCCTTTGCGCGCGCACACGCACCTGCGCATTGCGTACGGGTAGTCGCATAGATGCTGCCTTCTCTGTCAGTCCGTGGGTGTTAACAGACGGGAGCCCGATTCTCAAAACCCAGTGGAGGCAACGTACCATTGTTGTTTCACTAGTATTCAGTGTTCCTGAGGCGTCTTTGGAGTAAATTTTGGATGGAGTAAGCGCTTTCAAGCTGGTTCTTTTCGATCGACTTTCATAGGTAAACTCTGTCTGGCAATCAGTTTACGTAAGATATTGACAGTGAATCACAAAACAGCACAGTGGAAATCCACCATCCAAAGATTCACTCAAGCCTCAAAGTGATGGCCTCATTCAGTGCTCGACAGAATGGTCAACTTAAAAATTTCACAAAAGTTATGGCTCATTTGTTCTACCAAAGATAAATTCCGAGTTCTGGAAAGTATCTCTGATATATTTATCCACCGTGTACTATGCTCTTCACATCATTGTACATTCTCCAAGTAAAAGCTGACTTCGTTTGAACCACTGGTGAATTCGCAAGACTCTTGATTCAGTCAGTGATTGTGTTGTTCATGAATAAATTCCACTCATACCTCCTGAATGAAGGTTATATTCAACCAATTCTTTCATTATTTTTGTACAAGTGTCACTCATGTCCAGAGTGTGGTAATCGATTGAAAAATGCCGTGGGAAACGCTCACCGAAAATGTTGATTCTGCCCCACGATTCACAAACTCTGAAAGCTGGTGTTTCCTTTTTTAGTCCTAGTAGACCCAGAAGTCAGTCATCATTGAGGCCATGTTAGCATTGTTACCCAATTAATTACCAAAGTCTCGTCGAAATATATATGAAATCGATTGGTTGACACTACTTTAAGAAGTTCGGAACTCCAAGTCCACCCAATCCACTCAGTAAGGACTTGGTTTTTAAAACATCTTATTTTCGCATGTTTTCAATCACTGAGTGCGCGACAAAAGTGCAAACGAACTCTGAACAAGCCACTTTACCTGTAATAACAGCTTGTATCTGCTGCTTGCCTCTCGAATCCAACTGCTCTCTTTGTCGTTCCACAGAGCGGCCGCTTCGTGCCTGTTACACAGAGTATAAAATCAACAGTATATTTATGTGACTGCTGAACTTCGGTGAAAAATAACTACGTAATTATTGGCGAGCGAGTAAGGGCTTCCTCTTTGGTTGTTAGCAGAAACCAGGTCAGTCTGGTCAGAAAGACGAGAACTACCTCAATGTTGTATCCGGAGTCCCTGATCTTTCACAAATTACAAGATGGTAACGGTTTTTTGAGTGTACCTTCTCTCAGGTTTTAAAAAAATTCTAAAAAGGAAATAAATCTAAATTGGCTTATGCTGTTTTCCTGAATCAATCGTAACGGTGTCTTGATCGAAATACACTCAGGTGTGTTGGTGATAATCGTCCAGATGTAGAACCCTTTCGGTGCTTAGCTGCCATGCCACCCGAAAGAAGCACGAAGGCTGGGATACTGCCAGGTTGCCCAAGTCTAGACAGGGAAGTCGAGAGGCAGAGGTCGGGTTCGAATCACGGACCTTCCCGGTCAGTAATTCACGCTCTAACCACTTGGTGTTAACGGGAGACTCCACTGAATCTCCCGTAAATGCTACGCATCATGCCAATTTATTAGGGTAATTGAAGTGTCCAAAGTTCCTCTTGCAAGATCCGACTTGTATGCAGAACATTCTGCACAGATGATTTATAAGTTTCTACCTGGATTGAATCAACTTGTCAGTATATCTTATTATAATTCTGTTCTACAGGCATTTGTCACGACAGAACTATTGCCTGCTGACGGCCAGTATGCTCCTGTGAGAACAGTCTTACTACACCCTCTGCTGCGTAAGCCATTCGATTTAGTCACCCTCAGGCTCCACAAACCGCATGCACTGAATTTTTCGGCCGGATGGGTACGGCTTCAGCACAGTCAGCTATGGTGAAATTTTGGTGCCCTCATCATCATATTAGCTACACTTATGAGCGATCATCCTTTGAGTTAGGATAAGTCAGTTTCAGAAACTTCCCACATACTAGCTATCCACAAGCGACAGGCGGCTGTCATACCTACACAAACCACAACCCAGTGCTGCACCAACAACGGGGTCCGCAGACAATATGGAAACTGAAGGTCTAAACGATTAAAAAAATACTTCTGGATCCTGGATTTCTTCTGCCCATAAAGAGTGTTTTTTTAACAACCATAAATTGTGGCTCGAGGGAGCGCGAGTTAAAGTTTGGAGTTTCAAGAAGGAAAAACCCCAACGTTTTCATAGTGTGCTGTTTATGTGTATGGAAGTACTTCCGGCTCTATGCTTCGTGCTGGTTCGCTGGACCTAATTACTTGAATGTTCGATCTCTGGACGACCGAGGTTGACGGGTAGCACAGACAACGTACGCTACCCACGTTTTGGGACCTTAATGGGCACCGCCAAAGCGGCTAATCGATCGCAAGGTGAAGGATGACTGGTAAGTAGTTTTGTCCCATACGAGACAATTTCATAGAATAGTTCAAATCATATAGAATGTGACTTCTTGACCTGTCCCTGTTGGAGTCGAGAGGTGACAAAAACTAAAGCCTGGTTGACATGGAACACTGCAGTGGTCCACTTATGGAAGATGTGTTTCTTTGACTGGATTGGTGATCACACGTATTATTAGGGCTATTTTACAGAAGCGTCCCAAAACTTGGGAAACGATTCGGGTGAAACCTGAAATATTCGTTAAGTTTATTCAAATGTACTGAAAGAGGTGTCGTGGTGAGTAGTAGGTTGCCAGTGTGCGAAACCATCTATCTGAACATGAATACTGAGTAGTAAGAACACAACCTTTTTTGCCGAGCCTACCACACGGAATGTGTCACGAATAGCATTAACCAAACCTTCAGAAAGTGTCTCTGAGATCAAGAGTGGCAAGGGAGCAGTTCTTAGTGGATGAGGGGATAATTTATCCAGTTCAGGTGTCTGAATTAGGATCCCGGCTTACAGCGATGGTTCAAGTTCCAGTTCAAAAGTGGACACCTGAGAATCGTGAACTATCTCCGTCCGTTCAAGGATGGACACACATTCAATGCGGCAGACAATGCTTAGATTGTCTAGTAGGGGATTCCTGCTTATCCCAGAGCAAACCGCGATTCGGCCTGTACATTTATGGGGAGCTAGTTGCGGCTTCACGTTTTACACCACAATACCAGAATTTCATCCACCCTGTTTTCCAGTACTGACCAGAATACTAAACATCGCTGACTGCCACTATTTATGTGCATGTGTACGGCGTGATATTCAGCTATAAGGCAATGGGCTCGGTAACTAGTTGGTGTTCCATCAAATACGAATGGCTTTGAAAATATTTTGAGATCCCGTACGGTCAGTTCGGATTGCAAGAAAAGTCAGCCGAATTTTATGAAAAGAGCAAAAAAGACACCAGATTTCTCATAGGTTCGCCAGTATGTCTTATAAATAATAGCAGCAAGCTTCTCTGAATAGACAAGCATACCTTAAGCCATGCCTGCCACAGTTCCATGGGGTGATATAAAATGAACCTGAGATAGCTCAGTGGTTAAAAGGAGAAAGTAGTGACCCGGGGGTTCGTGATTCCAACTCCAGTTCGAACTTGGGCAACCTGAGCGTACCTCAACCCTCATGTCTCTTTTGATCGGCACGGCAACTGTGAACGGAAAGGATATCACAGCTGAACAAGTAGACTCATTTTCTCTTTATAAAGACAGGATCGGATACTGATTATGTTATGAGTAATCAGTGTGGTAATTTGGTGCGTTTTCCCGTAGTTTGTCCACAGAGCCTGGAGATGCGGATATCGGCCAATAAACGACCAGACACACCGTCTGGGATATCGGCGCTTCCAAATAGGAAATATCCACTCACAAATATAAATGGTTTCTGTGGTGCGCAACTGTTACATCTAAACATGGGTGATAAAAATAAAGAATCCGAATATTTGCTCCGTAAGGAGCGTCTTTGTTGGAGGATATCTTAGGAAGCACAGTAAGCGAGGATTCCCAGATGGACTACCAAATTTTGGAGTACAACGATATACACTAAAGAATACCCCTAGAAAACACCCACCCCAAAAGAATGTCTAACTCGAGAACAAACTTCTTTTCTTTCTCCAAATCCGCTTCAACGATTTTTCGCACGGCTTCGACACCCTCCGAATTCGCCTTATCCTCCGAATTCTCTCCTTGCGTGCACTGACTGACGAATCTCTCCAACCATTCCAACTGTGACTTTAGCTCACTTTGAATAGCAGTTGACCGACGTCTAAGGGTTGCGTTGTGCTGACGTAACGGAGCACGCCTGCTGAATCCCTGCTTATATTTATCTTCAAGAGCGCGAAGTTGCAGCTCAAGTTTGTCTAACCTCGCCAGAATTCGTGTTAATTGGTTCTCCTCCTCAACCAGATGGTCAGCCTATCAAGGAGCAAAAAACAATAAATCAGCTCATTAATTATTCGTGAAGAAGTGATACGGAATAGCGGTAGTGTTTTGTATGGTCTACAGTACTTTACCAGCACTTAACGATGTGGCGCTATTTCATCGCACGCAAATAACGTCATCTTTCCTCTAATACCTACCACAAGTGCCAGTTTATAACTCGCAGGCTTCTAAATGGACTCACCGATCGGTACATCTAAGGAGTTTTCTTGGTAAGCTGAGACTGTCCCAAATTTAGTTGAAATGATTCTAGACAATAATATCAAACTTTTGCTTTCGACTTGATGGCAAAACATTCTAAAGGATGTCCAGATACATTATTATACCAATGGATTAGGTTCAAGTGGCCTGAGATAATAAGCCGCTCAGCTTGGGCGGCTTCGTGTCGTCACGAAGAATGACGGAGGTGTATCATCAGAATAGAAGAAGAATAACCTCAGTCTAACAGCAATGAAACGGGGTAAAACTGGCTGATGAGCAAGACCAAAAGTTGATAAACTTGGAATTCATGCCTATTATTTTCACTCAGAGCCTTTGGTTTTCAACAGGTTGACGCGAGATCCCACAAGATCTCATCATCAAGAACTGGGGTCCGTTACGGTACTTGATGATTTACGATCATCCAGCTTTCAGTCCCGGGTTTAAACTTTAACATAAGAACTGAAGGGTATCAGTCAAAATATTTTTCAAGCACAAAGATGTGTGGCAAAGTTATTTCTTATCAAAATCTCTTCCCTATTGGCATTGCCGAGCAAGTGTCTTCGGATTTTGTCGCTTTCATTTCCCACTTTATGTTTTATGCTTGCACCTTTAGGTATCATTTCCCCGCGAAATTCCAGATCTGTTCTGTGATAGTACCTAATGACTACACATCATTCCATTTCATCGACCAAGACGGAATTTGTGATAGAAATCTGTGGATGATCTTATAAATTTATCGCAGAGTTTGATACTGCGACTGTCATAAAACAGACCAAAGTTCATAAAGGAAACTACTCACAAGGTTGCTGTCGAAGAGTTTTCAGCAACCTTGGCTATTTTAAGCTATTCGCTTAAAATGGTTTTATCTACAAGTCTGTTGCACGAGGTAATACTGGAGAATATGTTTTGAAAACTGTCAACATTGATGGTTCATGGTACGAAAGTTGATTACCTGCGTTCTGTGGCAGCAAAAAAACAACTATAAATTGCGTTTTACCCAAAGATTTTCTTTATCCGGTTTCCAGTTTTAGTGTACGGTACTGTTATAACTGCGCATCAGAAAGTGTTCCCATGAGACTGACATAAGCGAATCTGTCAGCGTTATAGAGTACAGAAGACACTCCTTTTAAACAAATGAGTAGACTATCGCGAGGTTTATTTTCGGGGGTGATCGGTGAATCATATAATAGACACCAAATGCTCCTGAATGGAAAGTAGAATTATGCCACTGTGTCACTCTCGTGAAGTCATTCATTTGACTGAGTCTATTGAAAAAATAATACAGTCTTGTTGTAGATACTGCATTTACCTACAGACTGGGTTTCGAATAATACAACTTTCTTTTTCATAACGGAGTAAATCATAACGAAATCTTATTGGATATTGATAAACGTACGGCGATTCAGTCACGGTGTAGCGGGTGGGTGGACGTAAGTTATTAACATGAAGACTGCATATCTTGTAAGTTAATCGCGAAGTTTTATTGAGATACGATTTGGATGCATCTAGGGCTCTGAGTATAACTAGAAGAAATGGTGAAGGAAAGATAAAGACTAGTAATACGATGAAATTTCAGATGGGTGGCTTGTCAACCATAACATAGTAGTTCCACTTGCCATTGAATATAACCCGAACTTGGAGCGATCTGACAGCATCCTAAGAATACTGATATCGTGTTGTCTATTTAAGTGAAACTAAGCCGCAGTAAAATCACGATTTATAATTGGTCCCTCTGATGGAAATTGCTAAGAAAAACTTATAAAAGTCCTCCCTTGGAAGAGAGACTTCTGTGTTTATTGAAAGTTGTCACTGCACACTGCTTTTAGTAAGCCTACACCGCTCCTTAGTTAACTCAGCGGGTCAAAACGCGATATACTTAAAAACTCTTGGTTGAACATGGAGGAGTTCGGATACGCGGTTCCAAGAACAAGAAAATTCTGTCACATCAAAAATGGCATGGGGACTTTTAAACCGTTGGCTGATATCCTGGACAATTTGACCATGGTAACACAGTTTGGAAGGTAACAGAATGATCTATAAATTTAGACGTAAAGCAAGATTTTGAACCCGGAAAATGATAATTATGGAAAAATTTAATACTAACAAACCTCGTTCTCTCTTTGGTTTAGTTCTTCCAACTGATCCTGCAGGAATTTCAGCCTTTTCTGCTGTTGCTCCAGTTTTTCAGCCTCCTTTGCCATGGCAATTTGCTCTTCACTTTCCACCTCTTCCACTGGTTCCTCACATTTGGCCATATTTTGCTCTTCACTAGTTGCTTGCGTCTTCTGAAATGCGATGGAAGGTATGGAATCATACTACGAAGTGAAATTCGGTTTCACAATAAGCGGAAGTACTGTATGCACCGAGAGAAAATAGCTGGAATGGCATCAGTTGTCTTGTTTGTCTGTTTGTTTTTACTTTTGTTTTTGTTTTTTGGTTACAGCTTCTTCATCGGATGCTTCTAGTGAAGTGGCAAATACATCTCAGAAATGGCCATTTACAATCAGCTGAAGAACGTGATGCAAAGGGACACAAAGGTTATTTTAAACCACCTGTTTATACATTATCCTGATACAAAAATCAATACAAATACCATCTCTGTTTCACATAGATTTCTGATGAAACACAATTACGGGACAACTAATTGCTTGAAATAGCGACTTTTGGAATGGATACATCCTAACGAGCAATGATTTACTAAGTTTTGCGATGACTAAAAACCTAGCATCATCACCATTATCATCATGATCATCATCAGCAGCAGCTTTAAAGATCGCGTATTCGTTGGCACTGGTAAAAGTCGCTACAGTTTCGTCAACCGATAATCTGGAGAGGTAGGGTTAGACAGCTGCGCATCGGATGTTTGATAAACAGCAGTGAATTTCCGATGGTATTAGTTATACTAAAAGTGACTTAAAAAGTCAACATCCAATAATCCCTTGAAACTGACCACTCCAAAACGAAATAAGTCCTAGATGGCGTTACCCGGTGACCAGCCAGAAATTGGTGTGAAAATTCTGTCAAAGAGAGGTCACCAACAGGAACGCCTTCCTCCAAACAATCTCTGTTTATGGAGAACGCTTTAGACGTGGAACGGGATTTTCACTGCGCATATGTGGAAAAGTGCAGAGAAGGAATGACCGCCACAGAGTAGGTAAATCAGTCTTATCCGACTGGTTCTTTCTTGATGTGGTAGTATGAATGTAGTATCTAATACGAGTAAGCAATTCACCAATTCGAATTCCTTCACTGGTGTGATGGTGTAAGCAAAGCAACCTTCTTAGTGGATAACGAAAGCAGTGTTCTGGGATACAGTATTTATCTAACAGGTGGAGTGAGATGACTCCACCGAAGGCCATTTATTCTCAAAAATTGATGACTGATAAACAATTTCTATCTATCTAGGATGGTGTATCGGTTACTTTGTGTTTGAACACTAAAGTTCTCGAAATTTAACTGTGTCAGCTTTGTACACTGTATCGCAACCTGACTAAATTCCCTTAAGAAGGAATCTCAAGATTCCAAGGAAAGATTTGCAGCTACAAGTTTATAAACCTTGTTTGACATTGTGGTAGAAACGTGTGACTTTCTTCTAGTTCATTTCAGATGAATGCATTTCAGTATCGTTTTTGCACTATGACGGATATTCCGAGCCAAATAATGTCAAAAGAAGTAAATGGCCTTTTCAAGTTGGTGGGTGGAGGGCACAAGGCTGAAGGAGCTAACAATCCCTAACAAAAAACCGCCGTTGTCTTATTGTGTGATTTACCAGGAAGATTTCCGTGTTGGTTTGTTTTTAGCTGGTTTACGGTTTGCCTGTTGGACTCTGCGTAAGGTTATTATTGGGTATACCGCCACCATAATTAAGCTGGTAGTTAAACTTTGCCATCGGCTAGTGAGTCGCCCGATGGAGTATTCTGCTATTACATTTAGTTATCGTCTAATCTTGCACACTTGGTTAATGAGACAGTCATAGATAGAGTTTTGCTCACTGTAAGTTTTCATATCAGGGTCTTATGTCTTCTCTGTCAAAACATAGAAGGAAGAGCAGCCTTCCTGTTATAGCAGTTTTCTTATATTGGTTATCTTTCCCCTTGAGTTTAGCTGTCAGTGACTAAGTACCACTAAATTCTACATGTCGTCAAAAGGGAGTTAGCCGTTGAATTCGGTAGAATTCTACTTAGAAGCAAGGCATTATTTTTATACGAAACGAACGGCAAAACATTGTACAAAAGAGACCTTACACATTTTCCTGACTAACCAAGTGAGCTTGTAAATTGTGATGGTATCGATTTGACTGAATGGAACACACACCCTTCGTAATAACTATACTTAATTCATTGAACAGGCCACAATCTGACAGCCTGATGCGCGTCGCTGTTTACTCAATCTGGATCTAATGTAAAGTGTCGATAAAAGCGAACCAGATTCGATGTAGATCACTAATAAACCGGGAAGTATGATTCTCGCATGTGAACTCCAAAGGGATTTCGATAGATAAAAAAATCGAGCTCACATGTATGATAAATTACAAAATCAATAAAATCCATGAGAACACATCCCAGGAATGGTGGATTTTTCAGTACGCTTCACATAACTAATGTGCATATTAGCGCTGATCCAAAGTGAACCACCAATTTGAAATTCTCCTATTTATACTACGCTCCACGAGCGCTCAGTCTTATTTCATTCAGCAATTGTATCTTAAGCCTTTATACTGTTTCACATTGACAAAATGGGTTAAGCTGGAAACCGGCCAGCAAATGCACTCTAAAAGTTGGGGCTTTATTCTATTCCATTTCTGTCTGAACGTTTCTAAAAAGTTTGTTCAATCTTAAGGCCCGGAAGCACACACGAGATGTAAAGAAATAGTCTTCCTTCAACACTCACTTTCTCCTGGTTGCCATATTTCGTAAAAGTAGCAGCCACGCACTGTCGTAGTAACAAAATTTGGTGTGCATTTTGGAGCGACAAAATCTTATGGAGCTCAGCTCAACTAAATCATGTAGCGAAAAGATAATCTCTTTTTATAATGTCAATACATAAGCCACCGTGCAAGTCAGCTTAATTTTAGCCAAGGTAGACATGTGAATACGACACACACAAAATCTAACTAGTAAACTGAACGTTTTGATTTTCATTATTTACTAAGAATGGTTACTGGGGAGTAAGGCAGCACAAGCCACGTGAAATAATAAACTATTCAGCATCGTGTTCCCAGCTTTGCTATTATTTAGCATAATAACATTCAGTTGCATGAAATGACATAATTGACATGCCTCTGAGGATTCCACACACCCATACCCTCAAAATTTTGTGTGATTTATAGTGCCATAGTTCTATCTTCTTTGTGTGAGTGTTGAGTTCGCATGGTTTTGTACCCTTGTGTTGTCTGCTGTTTTCTTTTCCTTCTTGCTAATGCGTTTTTTAGAAAAAATCTGTAAAATTTTGTGGAAGGTATCTGTACTTAAGTTATAATCATCAAGCACAAATTCTCTGGTAGTTACAGATCACAAAAATGATTGTTGCGTGGTTCCTTCTTCCAAATGTTACACCCGAGGAGACCCTCACTCCTAGGATTTGTTTTGCTAAAACTTCATCACAAATATTGGTTCTGAACAGAAGCTACTGAACGAGTTACACAGCGCGTTCATTTCTCAGAGTGAGTAAAGGCACAATAATTTATCAAGCAAAGCGAATAGTTCATACAAGTTTCCATGAGAAATGTTCTAGCCGGTGTTTGTTTCCTTCCTCAGTGTTATCTGAATACAAAAAGATTGCCTAGCCATACTCAACAATAACGCTGACAAACTCCGCCGTTTACCGAGTAAGTTTTTTCCACCTCTTTGTAATGGATAAAACAAGATAGTGCACTATGAGATCGATCAATGCCATAAATATATTTTCGGTATTCACGTCAACGACTGGTTAGTCTCTATCAGGTTCCTGAACCTGTATATCACAACGATGATTCTTTTACCGTCTATGCCGAATCCAACAGCAAGCCCTAGGCCTTTTTTCACTTTTCTCGGCAAGACTAGCACGCAACTGCTGAACTGCGCTCATATTCACCACTGAGACCCACAGCCAGCGGCTATCGGCCACCACCGTGGCTGACCTTTACGACCGACTCTTGGCTAACGGCTTAAACCCCGGAGTCTGGTAAACTTTTCTCATTCTCAACACAACTGATATTGCCTAGGCATCAGTGAGCGATGCTCCTGGTAAAAGTGCATTATTTACGCTGTCCACGCCCGACATTGGTTTTAAAGATAGTTTAAAATTATTTCAACGTTCACGTTTGCATTCTAGATGTCGAATCCCAGCGTCCTTTGACTTTTATCAACGTATGCTAACAACAGACATTTTATCACAACGGGGTTAAACGTCAACACGGTTTGGTAGATAATAGAATCAGACCTGTCTTTCAACTCCCACTTTTCCATTTTCCCTATTACAAATAAAAAAATTGACCTAGTTGGCTAATATCCGTATACACTTTCGGAGATACTTTGACTGAATCTCGTCAAAAGTTCTATCTATGTATTATTACTCAAGTGAGATTTCTCTTTTCAAATACCAACTGTTTACATTAAGATAAGAAGATATTTAAACAGACGCATTGCCTTGCATGCTAATCTTTAAGACTTATGAAGAGACTTCTTTGTATCCCAAAAGAAGTCGACACAGCCGGCTGTTTGAAAGGCTCATCCGGATCTACAAGTGCACTATGTTCAGAAGTTCTTTATATAATTAGAGTACTACGCTCTCTTCTTCTAACAACCTATTGTTTCTAAAAAGAAAACAAAAGGCATGGATAACGCTGCCCTGTCGTTAGACGGAACAATTGCAAACTAACTGTCAATCTAAGCAAACATATCAGATACTACCCAATCAAAATACAGTTAACATAACCGAGCTATCAATATTTAGACGCATCGCAAACGTTTTTGTCTCATGCAGAGCCCGCTATGAATTTCGCTCAAGCCACAGTACTTTTTATTTGTGGGGCTTCACTGCCGCAGAATGCCATTTGGTTCGACCCCATACTATCTTCAAGTTTCGGATTTGTGTTGCATTGAGCGTTTTCGGAACCCAAAAGTGCCATTACTGAATAAAGGCCTTCTCAGGTAAGAACCAATCTGTTTTAAACGGCTGTAAAATGGTGTCTCAAAGAATTGAGTTTATTCGATTTTACATCTAAGCATTGAAAAGCTACTTATGGTTATGAATGGAAACCCTCTAAGCTTCAGAGAAAACGTTTTCAGTCACATGTTAACAGACCTCTCCTGATGATTAACAGTGAGGATAATCATTGGAGGCAGTTTAGAGGCAAGTTCCACGAAACTACTGAGTGATAGCTTTTAGTCTCTTCAACTAAATTGCGACTTCTACTGTCAAAATTCATTTGCAATGTGGCATCTGGTTTCGATAACTGTCCTCGGTGTGCCCTTTTCTGTCTGGCTGCTTTTTAAGTGCTCGTTTTTATTTCTCCATTCAGGGCCATCTTCCTGGTAACAAGGGAGTTTTGATCCTTGCTAACTGCCCAGGCAATCCTAGACTCCACGTGCGCTTATGCAGCAATTAGTTTGTGCTGTGATGTTTTCACCTAGGTTTGGAATGGTGGTTACACTATTCCTCTAACGGTACTGAAGATAACTTGTTGCGATGCCAAGGGTGTGTTCGACAGTTTTGTGTCTGACTTTGTGTGCTTTCAGTATATAAAATAGGTAATACGCCTGCTGTTTTTGTACTCCAAAGACTAGTACAATTAATTTGTTTGTATTGTCAGCCTTCTAAATCGGAGGCACGCCAACCCCCAGTCGCCGGAAGTGGCAAGCGTTCTCCAGTCCCAGTCAAGCTTAGGAATGGGATGTTTTTTGCAAATGAAGTTCAAGTTTTAGGAGAATGAGAGCTAAACACGGTTGTTTCGTGTTAAATCTACCGACTTACTGACGGCCTCACATTCGGTAAGTAAGAATTAGGATTACCAAACTTTTTCTTGTCAATCTGTTGACCATTTTTGAAAGCGGTTTCGCTGGTAGTACACAGAGGTAGCAGATTACTGGATTATGCATTTCTCGTCTTTCTTTTACTAATTTGGGGGATAACTGAGGCAAAAATTTCTCTTTAGAAGCCACAACACTCGGCGAGACATCCGACTCGTCCCTTATAATTTTATTTAACACTATTTCTCCAGGTATTTTGAAGGTTTTGACAAATGTTAAGAGTACAGGAAAGTTCATTCAGAACCTCCTTTTGTACTTAACCACCCATGAGTACAACGTGACGTCAAGGTCTTGTACTATCGCAGCAATATGACCCATTGGGTGCGTTTGTCGTCCGAAAAATCAGCATGACCCGATGTATGTGTCGTTCCACTTTCGTGGTCTCAGCATTGGTCTACGCCTATTTATGTCGGTCATAGTCCTCAGTTCTACCACTGCATTTGTACACATGGTAGGTTTTATTTCTGGAATACAGTTCGCGTTTAAGCCGGAAATCCACCCAAAGTGCGCCAGTTAATACATAATTCTCCTTGCTCTTGTACTCACATAAGCAATTCACGTTAACTTCTATCAATTTTCAGGCCTCGCAATCCTCGTCTAATGATATATTGCAACCAATGAATGTTTTGTCCACTTAAGTCTCATAAAATCCATTTTTTATCCAATCAATGTACAGGTTTTTACCTTTCACTAATGTACACCGTTACGTATTTCCGCACAAAGGGGTGAGCGAAATCGTTCCCAGTGGGTTATTTAGGCGAACCATCGGCTCACTGCTAGTCATCAGCTCTAATTTTTTTACCAGTGTTGTAGAGTACGATCTCCGCTTGCGACAGATTTTGATCATCCCAGGATGCCTTTTGACTGGCATGTAGTCATGGGAATCACCTAGGAGCAAACGGGACCTTAATTTAGCCCCTAAAAATACCTCAGCCAACTCTCTTAAAAAAATTGTTAGACGCTTCCACAAGACTGGAAAGAGAATGGGTGTCTCCGCTGTCTCGAAGACTCTTCTGGTAATTGCTTTCATTTTTCTCTTGTGCCTCTGGAACTTTAAGTTGTGGTTTTAAGTTCCTTCTACTTTTTGCTTTCCTTTCTCAGCCTCAACTTTACTGCACTATACCGAGTACTGCCTCACAACAGGTTTCTAATAAAACCATATTCAAACAACTCTGATCCGCAAATGCTAAGTCATCATGTATCCGGTATCATACTCTTAGCGGTTCAAAGGCCTCCGAGAACTTACAAGTCATTTTATTCCACTACCGCAGAAAGCACGCTTGCATCGAAGATTATTTTAGTGAAAAACATCTGGACACACTTGGTCATGGGCAAAAGTGTCTTGCAGTGGACACCTGTGAACAATAAATAACTATACAATAGGCATCCGACAAACTGGTTTCAAAAAGCAGCTAACTGAGCCATCATCATCATCATCATCAGGGGCAGGGCCCCCAAACAAAACCCCACACCCTCTCACTGTCTTGTCGATAAAATGTTTGAGTCAAAGGCTCAAGGTGCGGTACCTCAACTGACCCCCTTATTCGGCCTGGGCAACCGGAAGTATCAATTGCCCTTGCAGCTCTTCGCTCACCGACCTCTCCCCTCATTCTCTCCCAACCCATCTTACAGTATAGTGCAGTCAACCCATCTGCAAACCCCCTAGCCACTATTCCGTGCCTAAACCTTCGCCCAGAAAAGTAAACCAAAATAATCACCTACTAACTTCAGAAGATCTGACCCACGTTGCAGCCTTTAGTGTCCGTACCCTATGTCAAATCGGACAACGGACATCCCTTGCCGAACCCTTGCCTTCCCTCTATCGATGTATGTTGTGTCTTCGGAACACGCATACAAGATCCCACGTTGGTCGTGCTCCTCAGGTCGCTTAGGACTAGCCCAGATGTTTCACATTTCACCATTCGGGTATGTGGTGATCCTGGGGGCGAGAAGGTCAAGTGGTTAGAGCGCGGATGGACCGTGTTTCGAACCCAACCTCTGCCTGTCGACTCTGTATAGGTTTGGGCAACCTGACAATATCCCAACCCTCGTGCAACCTTCGTGTGGCATGGCAGTCAGACACCGCAAGGCTGCCGCAGCTGATCTGGCGGTTCTGGCGCGAAGACTCGTGGTGTCTACCGTATGGGAGTTGCGCTTAGCCGCAAGGCCGAAGCTGTCTTACTGCGGTCAGTTCATCCAAGAATACTTGCGCCTTCTCCTCCTCTTCGAACATGAGAACAATGTCGTCTGTATATTCCAGGTCGACAAGGTTTTCTTCACTGGCTATTTGAACACCAGGGTTTTGGAGACCCTCCAGCTTTCGTCTCATTATCTCATCAATCACAAAGTTAAAAAGGAATGGAGAGAGTGGGCATCCCTGACGGACACCGCTTTGTGTACGGAAGCTTTTGGAGAGCTCTCCGTACACTCTCACAGAAATTGAGTAAAGGCCTACCATTTTTCTGATTGAAAACAACATATCAACATGAGCTGCATAAGTTAATGTCGAAAGTCAATTCAGCAATCGGAAGAGCGTCCAGGATGGGTCACTGGACTCTTCAAAAAGCGAGTGTCAAGATAAAAGCTTAGAATGCATACAGATGTGCTCCAAAATCATGCCATACAGAGAGAAGAGGGATGGAGGACCTGTGAAGCCAAACTGATTGGCCGGAGAAGATGCCAAAACAACATGATATGCCCATGTATTTTTCAGTGGCTTCCACTATTTGATGAACTTCCAACTGTCTGGAGGACCAAGAGCAAACGATCAGTAGAGCACCCTCCTCACTAGGGCGTTTGCCAAGTTCTCCCCCTCCCCCAAAGACAAAAGGAAGCAATGACGGAAAAATTGAACAAAGTAAACACTTGAACGTCCGGAGCACGGGAGACTGTGCATCGAGTGCAGCTTACTGCATCCGAAATGTGCCATCGTTTGTAAGTTAAAAAGTTTCTTATTCGATTTGGAGTACTCTAAGTTTCCTAACCGTTAGCGGAAGTAACAGTTTAAGACACCCACTTTCAATATCAGTTTCGGACAGTTGAAATAATTATTCAACAGAGGTAATATTAGTTATCTTTTCGGGGTCACTTTCAACGTATTTCAAACGGTCACACTGGTTATTTTGCAACTTCATTTCAGTTTGTAAGGCAACTTATGAACTGGAACGCATGCATATCAATGCCTAGAAATGGTAGAAATTTTATCGAATTTCGCGTATTTAATTAAGGTCATCATAACATGATTGGCCTATTGAATGGAAAAAACCGCATGTGCCTTATGTGAGTTTCCAACGCCTTTTCCATAAACCAATGTGAAATAACTTTGAGTTGCATCAGGAAAGAATCACAGAATAGCAAAAATCGAAGCGCTTACGTGGTTGTTTATCTCCCCCACAGACGGGTGAAGATTGCAACCATGTTTACTGGCTGGTAAATTTTCCGGGAACCCATCGCCAGCTCCCACGGCGGTGATATTGTTTAAATTATTTGACATCGAATTACGAGCGAACTAAGGGAATCTCACTGTCAGTATGCACAGAAGGAGTACCTCGAATTCATTTAATCCGAAGCACTTTCTTGGATCCTTGGGAACTCTGAGATCACTCGAGCCTTTGCTCATTTCTGCAGTCAGTGATGCCTATAGGTATCAATCGCAGACGACTCGAAATTTACCATTTGTTGCTTTGTTTCTTTGTCAAACAATGATCGCAGCCTTCGACGACGGTTATCAATAAATTTTTCAGCTTCTGTGTCAACGTTCTGGACTTCGAAAGCCTCCATGCTTTAGGCACTTTACACAAAACATCAAGGTGACCAACCTGGACGCTTGCGCCTGGTCAGATGTCCAAATTTTTTCTCTTTCTGCACGCATAGCTGAGTTATTAAGGTATTCTGTGTGAGACTGCCATTGTTTTATGTTTGAAAACTCTCTTTCTTTCTTTCTTGCCATGAGTGTCTCGAAGACATCTTTTCTAGACGCGCCAATAGATCGTGGAACACAGAAGGACATGGGTGTAGTCAGTGTAAATAAATTTTGAAATCTTGCGACATTACAAGGATTCCTATTGCTCAGTTCAAATTCAGTACAAAGTTTGACAGTCAATGAAGTTGATCCAGTTGATATAAAGACTCCATGGATTTTAAATGCAATTTTATTCATGCAACTAATAATTGTTGAGGAAAGCATGATAATGTGGCTAGCTAGAAAAGCACTAATTATTCATGCTGTGGTCAATGGGGATAAGGCATACAGATGGGGAGAATCACATACATGAAAGGAATGCGGTTGATCGCTCACGCAATACGATGGGAAAATAGCATTCCAGAAGCTTTTTCGAAAAGCAAACCATTTTAGGTGACAGAAACCTGTGCGTGGGCATGTAGTAAACCCTTGCAAGCCACGTTGAATGCTTTACGAATCTGTTCTGAAGCTGGGTTAGGTTGTGGCGTTTTGTACCTTTATTTTACTTCCATTATAACACTACGTATTTCATCAATTGCATAATCGTTTTTCGTTTGAATACGAAAAACTACAAAAACGCGCACTTGTACAATTTCACAGAATACAAGCGTGGTCACGTGCTTCGACTCCCTCTTCTGATATCGCTCGCGCTTGCAGCGGTCATTCGCGTACCAAAACATTTCAGACAGCTTCGGAATCTATTCTACGTGGGAACTGTTCAGAAGAAGACCTCTGTACCAACATGATTGGATTATTGTTTATTCGTTGACCTGGGCCAACGACGAACTATTTTAAAGAGAACAATTTTTAGTGAGTCTGTTCCGTCTGGTCTCTTTATTTTTGTATACCCAACCTAGCGTAATCATTTTTATTTCTTTGCCACACACTCCTGGTAAACTAACTTATTGGATAGCCAGACCACTACACGGTAGAGATGATGTGTGTAGATGATGAGTTACTCATTTAAGGATAGGTTGGGTCAAACTAGCTTACTGGGCGGGCTAAATTGTTGCTCCTAGCCTTTCGCTGGACATTCCTTAGAATAATCTCATCTCGCTTCATTCAGAGAAGTCCGGAGTAACTTTGAACGCCGTCACCTCATTGACACATGGTGTCAGGTTAGCATTGTTAACCTAGTTATCTCATCGCTCTTAGAAGTTCGTTTCGCCGTTTCAGGAATTTTCTCGTTCTACCTTTCCACCATTGTAGCAGGCACCGAGCTCCGAAGGTCAGTGATAGTGTGTGATGTTAGGACATTCGCTTGAACATTCTCGGAGCACAAACTGACCTCCTCTCTCTTCACCGTCGCAATTTATCCAAAAGTAGTTGAGTGTTCCGTTAATTGTATGGCCACTAATGCTGTGATTCATTGTGACCCGGTCGTTTCTGCCTTTGAGGTAGCCTTGAAGAGATAAGTTAGGCACCTCTGGCCGGCCCAGTATTCCAACTACCAGCCCTCCCAACAAGCGTGGCATCATTCTGGAGGAATGGTTTGACTCGACTCATTTCTTCCCTGATGCAAATATAATCCAGGGCACCCAGTATTTTATATGCGGAGGTATTTGCGTGGTATAGGGCGTTCTCAACGATTCTAATATTGCTTTAACCAGAGGTTCACGAGCGGCTTCAAATAGTTCTGGGATGCATGAGCGGGCCCGGTTTGCGTGGTCTAGTAAGATGAACACTGTTATTCTCCAAAATCCGAGATTATTTCCCGCACTGAAACCCTTCAAGTATGGCCAACATGAGTAAAATGGGCTCACTCCTTCGCTGACGATATGCAAGTTTGTGCGTCCGGATTTGTTTAGAGTTGCCAACCTGCAGGCCATTTTGGAAGACGTGTTCAGTGCACGCACGAACAGAAATGGGCCCACTCCAGGGGTGCGATGGATCATCTCTGCGTTTCCGTGACCCGTTCGAGAGGATCACAATTTGCACGAAGTGCCTTCATATCTTTTCAAGAAAATCCAAAGTTTTGATGAGAGTGGCGGTGTATTCCTCCCGGACGGAAAGTAACATCTCAACGAGGACTTGTTCTACAGTTCCACCGGTACGAATTTGACCATGTCGTTGTGAACCTCGACACCTAATGCACTTATCCAGCACTTGTTTTGCTGTAATGATCAGCTGAAGGCGCACTGAGAGAAAATATTTTAACTCGTTTGTCCGGAAAACCCTTGGTGTTCATGAACATAACTAAGCACCTAAGCATGAGAGCTACTCCGTGTGTCTTCGTGCTTCCAACAGCAGGTCTGCTACCTGCAAAGCTCGGACAACTTGGTCGGTTTATTAGTGTTAATAACACGTTTGCCTCTTAGCTTGTGGGGGACATACCATATCAGGCGTGATTGAATCGCCAGTATTTTGTCGGTCCCCATTCAGGTCTCGGACATTTTGCAGTCACAACGAATCTCTGGGTGGAATATGTCGCAGAATGCGGATGCATGCTTCAGTGCAGATAATGCGTTTTCCGTTCTGATTAAAACGAACTTTCTGGGCCCCGATGTTGACTCTGGACTTCTTGTGAATTACAGATAAAATACAGCCATCAAAGGTAATTAGGGGGCAGTCGGTACTTTGACATTATCAAACACAGATTGGGACGATCGTCATTGAATTCCATGGCTAAGGACAAAGGACTGTTCCGTACAACATTCGGTGGTCTCTACGATAGTGACCGAAATCAGGCATCCTCACGCGAAGATTGCGCGTTTCGGCGGTTTCAAAAAACGACTGGGCTTTTCGCGTCTCAGTGTCTAGCGCCGATTATGTGTGTTTAACCACTGATTTACTGGCTGAGGCTGACTAAAATTATTCTTTGAATTTCACATCTTCTTTGTTATTTCAATGACTGACTGTGGTTCCGCTGGTATGTTGCTGCACATAGTCATCGTACTAAAGTTAAGTAGTTTCATTAGTGTTACGGCTGTCTGCTTTTGAACTTGAGGCACGTGTGCCAATCCACGACGACGGTCAAGAAATCCGATTTCTAGAATCAGGGTACTATTCCAAAGATAATAATACACATATCCAACAAACTTCGACGGATTCTCCTCTGCAGATACCGTGGGGTTACAAAATAAGGGAGTACAATCACCAGCCTGAAGACAAAGCGCAGATCAATTCACCTGAACTTCGATATCGTCACAGTGAAACAGATATCGACGGCGAGCAACCGACAAAATCAAAATGTCCGACCAAAGTTCCTAAGAGTTATAAAAATGGTTCAGCAAAACAAGAAGGCTTCAGTTCATCTGGTCAAAGGGGATAAATATGGGATTGGCTGCCACATGTGGTTGAGAACGAAAGCACATTGTTGGTAAGCAGACTTCTACAATCGGACATAGATCCAAATGTAGTATGCACGC